GTCAACAAGCTTATCCCACATTCTGTTGCTTATCTTAACATTCCTTCGTGTTGCGTCTTGTTCAGTGTATTGATGACTCAAATACGATTTGTATAACACAAAAGAATGCAATTTAATATTTAGAAATCACTATAATTGATCATTCCTATGTTAGTCATTGAGTAGATTGGTACTGTAATAATCTACTAATAGCAGTAATATCATGGATACACTAGATGTACAACAACATCTGAAAAAGATTCACCCCAGTCTAGAAAATAATGTTTATGCTGCTAATAGACTGCCCATGTATAGCCACGTACCAACGTATATAATATGCAATTTGGATACAGATGATAAACCAGGGTCACATTGGGTAGCTTTATATATCGATACGAAGAGTGGTCAATATTTTATTCAGGACGGGCACCTGTACGATATCATCTAGAGTTTTTAAAAAGGAATTGTAAAAGATGGAACTGGAATGTTGATAGTATTCAGAATGAGTGGACTTCAGTTTGTGGCGAATATTGCTTAATGTATTTGCTATATAAGTTTCAGGGATGTTCAATGCATAGTTTTACGAGTATATTTACAGGGAACACATTGTACAATGATATTTTAGTGGATGAGATGTTTCGCTCCTATTTTATAGACAATAAGTAATAAGATTTTGTATTTTGTAAATAAAAATTGTAACAAAATTAGGTGCCAAAACCTTTTTTTTTAGGATCGTGAGTCGACGAACGTTGTACCACTTCTGACTCAGTGAGCCAGAAGTGGTACTACTACCTATCTACTTACCACTTTGAGTGCGGTACGTAACAAAGCTATAAGTCACAGTGGCTTTCTTAAATATTACACAAACACCTAAAAGAAGCTTAAATTACAAAGATGCGATATTGGCTCCGATAGAAAATGATGAAACAGTTTTAAGATTAGATAATTATTCATTCTTCCTCATTTTTATTTATAATAAGTAATATTTTTTGTGTTAATACTAGAAACAGACAAGGTAGACCAGATATTTGACTCCAAAGAGTCGGTAATTGATTTATGTGGTGAAGAGAACCGGAGTCACGATTTACTGGTAATAAGCATTCCATCGTTGCCTGCCTCCTTGGTATAGCGGTCATTGGTGCTACTGCTGATTAAGTTGTTCCTTGTTCGAAGCCTGGTTCGGGAGTCAGGAAGTTGGCGGTGTTTACCCTCTCAAAAAGCATGAGTCGTTGGTCATGTGCTTGACCTCTCTCTGGTCATATCCGATTTCCTCCCCATCGGACGATAACAGTGAGGGAACAGAGAGTGGATCTGAATTTGCGCACACACTCGTGCGATTTAATCTTGTCCTGCGCAGATGATCAAAGCTGTGAATGAAATTCGGTCTGGACATTATTCCACTATTGTCTTCAGGGGTAACAACGCATCTACATTTTGATTCTTTATCGAGAATAGATTTAGATGTCTTTGGCTCACAGCTTCAACTTACCGCCACAATCACTCAGATTAAGGTCTGAGCACCATCAAGTAGATTGCGTGCTCGTTTGTGATAGAACGTAATGATAACGTGAAAGTTATCATTTTCATTTGGCCTAGTCGAATGAATTACGTCAGTGAATTCTATGCATATTCTTGCACATCAATCCTTTATTTCAACCATTTTGGCACCCCTGTTTACGTCATTATGGATTTCAAAGAGACGATTTTATGCTGTAACATTATTGTGCTTTTTAGCTAATGGCTAATGTTGTTTTTTTTTGAGTAATATAATATATATGATAGAATTAATAGGCAAATACAAAACATGTTCGTGACCTAATGTTCGTGTGTTAATTATTGCAGTCGTTAACTCGACGACTAGAATAACTTTGAAATGAGTCAGTATGCTCATCAATATCTTTGTTATTTTTATTCATTTTTATTCCTTATAGCATTCCCTACTACAAAAGAATACATACATATATCAACTCTCCTACCCTCAAGGAATGCCACAAAACATGATTGAGCCACATGGACTTTCTGCATCTCTTACCGGGTAAACCAGGTTGTCCATTGATTTATATATTAACTCAATGAGGTTGTCACTCCATTAATGGGGTTCGCCCGAAGCTGCCACTCAAGAACGTTTCTTTCCCATCAGTTGTCGATTCTACGAACTATATAGCCGGCATTTGCTACTTCAGCTTACTGATTTATTGGATTTTCGGTTACACAGGTTGTAGTAGGTATGGGATGTCTGCTTACATCTGGTTAATTTTATCACGCAGTGAAATTCTGGGCATAGCTCTCTTCATAGTTGGCTGAGCGATTTAGAGCTTCTTCATACGGCCAGCAGTGAAGGAACATGTGTCAGATCCATATTATATCATCAATGGCAACTTTCACTGATTGTAGACTCTTGTTTTCAGGTTTTTAAAAATACGTGACGGGATGATGTGTCATTATCTCCCGAACGCTACCCAGTCAAGTTGGATCCGTCCATTAACCTCTGGGTCAAACTTGACTTAGTCCGAAAATTTATCTTAGGTAAGAAAACTTGTCAATAACTTCAAGCGTAGTCCTTCCAACCACTAACGGCATAGGTATAACATGAACACATTATCTTTGTTTTGTCCATGTTCATGGATGTTGGATGAAAAACCGATATTTGAATCCTTTAGCAGCTGTTCGGTTCCATCCTCGCTGGTGATGATACTACGGAAAAGTGAATAAAAAGTACGGAGAACTTGTTTTTCATAGTCCACATACACAAGACAAAGTTTATGTAGTTGGACTGTGAGAAATTCTTTGATTGCGTCGAAATTTGAGCAGTGCTACGGTATGCTAATACCTATTAATTTACATCTTTCTGTGTAGGTACTTAAATACAAGATGGTTTAAATAGATTCAAAAAATAGTGGGTTCGTAAAGAGAAAGCTATGTTAAAATAATTATTATGCGTTAATATACCAGAGAAATCGGCACTGCTTAATTTCCAACTGATGTTAAGCTTCAAACAAGAATTAAGCTTCCGGTATTGAATTGTTCTCACTGTCAATTGTTTCTGACGTACATGGTGTACTTTTTCGGAATTAATTTCACCAATGAAATGTCACAAAGAATCCTTATCCTCTGTAAGATATTTAATCCTACCTACTGGGCGAAAAGCGTTATAAACGTTTTATATGTAGGTATTGATTAAGAAATAAAACATCATATCCTTGTAACAACATTTATTTTGTATGTACACTTAAGTTTCGTAACTTGCAGAATATACGAATAATAAATGCACAACTTCAGCATTGTAAAATTTAACTTAAAAACTCGAAAGCACGAGGTCGAGGTATTCATCAAAACCACAAGTTTTGAAATTTCTGTTACAGTTAAATTAGTGTAAAGCATTAGAAATTGGTCCCAGTTTATTATAAGCTCACTGAAAATGAAATTAAATATTACAATAAAATGAAAATATTGCAAATCAACCTTTGATTTTCAATGCAATGTGTTAAAGCCAAAAACTATGAAAAAACAAAACGGCTGAAGTTGAAAGTGTAGAAATTTAGAACATTCATAGTTGTTTAACTTTGGTATGGGTATGCAAATGCTATGTCTATTCTTAAAATAGGTAAGAAATAATGATAAATAATTGGCAAAACAAATCACATGATGAATACTTGTTACCCCTATGCAAATGTACGCTCCTGGTTTTTGTTACTTCAGACCAACTGCAATTTGCATGTTTTTTTTTAAGTAGTCACATAATCATAATATAATATTACTTTTATTGTAAATTTTGTTATGTTCAACTAAATTCTTTCAAGTGTAAAAAACTAAAAAGCCAAACTATGTATCATTATAAATTTATGTTAACGTACTTTTATAATTTTCATTAAAGTGGAAATATATTATCATAAGTGATAATTAAAAGATGATATAAAAAATTGCGAACTGTATTAAAACTTTGTTTGGAATATTTTTCAATCTTTCCCTAGATATACCTTTATTCTTAGCCATCACATTTGTCGTCTTTATAATAAGATTAGAATGATATAGTAGTGTGGTATATGTTAAGACCCTGGATTCTTGAAGCATCATACTTCATATACGTTTTGCAAGAATATATCTATGGATTCTGGTGACTAAATGTAAAGAATTGTAGTCAATAACTTGAGTTCTAGGACTAGAATAACTTTGTAACGGGTCAGTATATTCATATCTACTAATTAATACATCTATATATGTACTTAAATACAAGGTGAATTAAATAGAGCTAACAGAAATAATAGTTGCACATTGCATGAGTAGTTAAAATACAGTTAATTTGCGTTATCATATTAAATCATATCCAATCGTTACCCATTACAAAAGTAAAGAAGCTTAACAGAAAATAGGAATTTTTCTAAGCAAGGTGTATAGCTTGTGACCAACATTACGACAGATAGCTCAATAATTTATATTCATAATAATTATTACTTAAAATGAGCAATACTCAAGCAACATAATGTTTTCTAATAAATGCCATTCATGATATAGGGTTGTTAGCCATATTTTGTTCGAATTATTTTATATGTTCCCATTAATGGCACATACAGCTGTTTATTAGTAGTTAAAATAAAGGCAAATGTTTTTTTTTTAATTCTTCACAAACTTGCTTATAAATCATTGCTTTACCTACACATAATTATGTTCCTGTACCTGAAATATCTAACTTTTAAATTTATCATGTTGCATTTAAAAACTTTTTTTTAATATTATATACAGTAAAACTATATTAAGTAACGTAATATTAAGTTATAACAATTTAATATCACATAAATACGCGTCGCTCCAAAGTTTGCAGCCTACATTAATATTTAAAGTTTCATGTGTTGATATGCTTGATGTTGACGTATAAATAATAATACCGCAACATTACAACAATGGATATGTATGCACTCGTTGAGACTGGATACAAAAATATGCTTAATGATTATTTACAAGTCTCACCACATGAAACAGCAGTCGATTTAAAGTACTACTAACACAGTTGTTGAGCCTAGCTTTCACCTTATGGCGTGCGTTGGCCTATATGGTGGAGGTGGGGTTTTCGGCACTTGGGCTTGAGGATTATTCTGTGGGATATGTACGGAAGGGATATTTGTTGTATGAACGGAGGCTTCATCCAATTGTCCAGGGATAATGGGTGCCTCGGATGACGCTGTGGAGGGTTCTAGACGCGTGCTGCTTGTGGCGGGAAGCAACCTCGCCGGATTTAGCTTAATAGCATCGTCATAAGTTGGCGGCGCTCCCGCCACTGTTTCGTAATCGGGGGGTTTTTGCTGCATTGTTTCTTCGTCCGGCATCGAAATCACGTGGACGGGATCGTCAATCTGCAATAATGAAAAATACTTTTTTTGGCGAAAAGGAATTTAATGTCTGTGTTAATTTTTCAAGGTAAAGAAAGCCTTTGCCTGCAATAGTTCTAGTGACCCTTGATGAGGATCAATTAAGGTCGGTATATAATAAATAAATAGGTAGTTTTTGGGTTCAGATTACTCTATCCCACCAATAACATTAATGTGAAAGGGTTGCTATCTTGGTGGCTAAAAGAGTTGAAATGTATTTGCAAATGCTACTTAGGTTCTTGTGTCAGTTGTCACTGACAACGCAACGCAGGCACAGAATGCCTCGTTTCCATTAAAAAAGGGTCTCCGGATCTCTACGCTCACCATACGAAACGCTGCTATTTTACGCTGGTATTCTGTGAGAGCGTAGTCCTTCCCCGGTCAAGTCAACCCATTCGTGCCACAACTATTATTATGGTATTATTTAGATGCAGCGTAGCTCTACCATGTATGCTCTCCATTAGAGGGGACTATCGGAAACAACAGAAAAAAGTTACGTCCTCCAATAGATATCCCGTTTACGTTAGAGTTTAATGAAAAAGAAAAAGATTAATAAACGTTAATGGTGAAATTACGAACCTGGTGAGTGTCAGGCGAAGCGCGATCATTCTGTGGTTGACGCGCAGGCGACTGCAGCCAGCAGCACATGGCAGCACAAATAAGCAATGCGCCGGCAACGATGCAAGCCACACCCACATAGCGCACCGGCTCCGCGTAGTCCTCAGCCAGCCCCAGCCAGTTGATAAGTGCGCCCGCGCACAGCAGCACCATGCCGTAGCGGTATGGCCGCTGGGACTGTCTGCCTTCGTCGAGCGACATCCCTGAAAAAAAAATGTTGTAATTTTAATTTTAACGTCAATTCAGTCAGTTTTAGTTAACGTTTCTTATCCTGGAAGAAGTCGTACTACATCTTTGAATGAACAAAAAGTTAATGTCAATAAGCAATATGAATATAAAAGTAAAAGTAAATAGCCCGCTAACTATATAATAAACTTCAAATCAGAGACACGGAAAGAGTTGGTCATTTGGCTCACTGGGGCAATGGCGCTTCAATAACGGGACCACACTATTCATAAACCGGTAAGTTTAAAAAGAAAGTTGGCAAAGTCAAAATTGAATGAAAATAACTAATTTTATACCAGAGTTGTTCATGTTGCAAGGAACTGGAGGCGACTAATTAGTATGAGGAAATGTGTTTGATTATTTTGGAAGGATTAATGAGGAAAGGTCGTAAGACATAAGGTATAAGACATCAGGGCGGCTGTGTGATCGAGGCCAGGCACAGGCAGAGACAATGCAGTCTTAAGAGATGTGGGTCAAGTTTGAAACGTACGGTCGACCGCCGCTGGCTTAGTCACGCACTGACGACTTCCATAAATGTGATTATAATCGAGTAACTGCTATGGACTTTAAAAACTAGTTGATGATCAAAAAGAAAAAAAAGTAAGTAATGGAAAGACGCCCACTGTATGATATGGGGTAGTGGATGCTCTCATGCCACTACTACACAGCGGATAATCTCTTATATAATTATAATTATTTAAAAAAAATCAGAATTGTAAAGCTTGTGAAATATTTTTTTATTTTTCTCATCAACCATTATTATTCTTTCTAAATTCATATAATCGTTGGTGATTGGTGCGGCAATCAATGATCGTGAACTCTGAAGACAAGACTGAGGTGAATTATTGACTAACAAAAAGTTAGACGGAGCGCTCCGTAGACATTTTGGGTGACGCTGAAACCGTGCTCAACTTCTTGACTAGACTGACTTGACTCACGCTCACATTTTTCTTTCTTTGGATGCACACACATTCAGTCTAAAATCATAACGTAGGCATTGATCTCAATGAACGTAGGTTTCAAATTATTTTAGATGCATAATGTGTACGCGCGTGCGTGTTCTTACAATAGGTTGAGCATGATTTTGGCTTGTTATGGCGACATTTCAAATGTACGTAGTGCTCCGTCTATCTATCTTCGTTGGTCTAGATATTTACACAATATATTTGTTTTGTCTAAACGATAGTTCCTTGCTATACTAGGCTCGAATAGATAGTGTTGTAGTCAAGTTATTAAACTTAAGGAATATGCCCAACTTTGTTGGATATACATATTTTGCTCTAAAGTATTAATAAATCCTATATTTATGTTCCAAATGAACTCTTACTCATGATATGTTGAATGTCACAAAAGAAAATCACAAAATGTAGTTTTATTTAGCTATATTATATTTGTACTTTAAAAAAATTCCGGAGTAAAACTCCTCGCACTACCTATGGAAACGAAAAAACGTCTGACGAACCAGCTACATCTAGAGTAAGATTTAAATAAGATAATGTTTTAAATTTCATAATAGGGCAGATTTCACAATCAACGAATTCTTAATAGAGTAATACGATATAATTTGACTTTATATAATATTTCTGTATGTGTGTTTGTCACCGAACTCCTCTTAAACGTTTGGACCGTTTTTGATGAATTTTTTGTGTTTGTGTGGGTTTAGATTGCTTAGATCATAGAATACTAAATACATACACAATAGAACGGGGCAGTGGGCGGAGCCCGAGTAGCCACGAAAATGTCACTAACACGTCAATTCACACTTATAACTCAACAACTCGTTAACACGAGATGTGTTTTGACGTTACAATCGTTTCCAAATTTCGCATGCAAATTATTTAGAAAATGCCAAATTGCACACTATTTAGAAATAAATATGTAATTAAATTTAAACGATTTTTTTTAATGATGATCTTGAACATTAATCAAAAGTCTAAAATGTGTAAATTTACTCAGTCTGTCAACACAGCGAATCGGGTTTGTAGTAGTGATAATACGACGTAATTGCTTATACGCGTGCTCCCGACGACACCGACTCTCATACAAAATACGGTTGACAGCCATTCTATTGTGTATTATAGTATTCTATGGCTTAGATTCACAATTAGACACGGTAGGTCGGTCGGTACGGAGATCCAGAAATCACCCCTGCGAAGCCCGGGCAGATCGCTAGTTTTTCATAAAACTTCTGAAATACAATTCTAGATAATAGACGTTTTCAGATGTTTTTTCGGAAATCTTTCGTTTTGTTAAAACTTACATTACCTCTTTCATTATGAGAGCCGAATAACACAGGATATATTGTCCAAACAATCATCGTTATCGATGAATCTGCATTACAAATGTGTGTACTTTACCAGAATCTTCGATGTAAATAAGGTCTCCAGAAATACGTGATATTGTCCCGTCACTTTAAGGCTACACTTGTGCAAACTATTTAAGTAATTATTCTAAAGTAAATAGAAGGTATGCAATATCAAAACACTAAGTTATAAAAACGGCAGCAAGTTATAAAAACAAAACAGATATCTTATCCGGTTAGATAAATTCTAGTATGAACTCAATGATAAGGGAAGGGGCAGACCTTAATATAGTGTAAAATTGTTGAGATATGGCTTTCCCATTCAATCATAATATCAATATGCAAATGACAGTTCTTATTATTGATAAGTTTTCTCATAAGACAATATAATAAAAAACATTACGCAAGTATAATACGTAGTTTGCTGCTGTAGCGGATAGTTCATCAACATTAAAATCCATTAGTAGTCAATGCCGGAGACGCTTTTACTACTGTAACATTGTTATTATATTTATGATTATCTATAATAAGAATGCAGTAAGTTAAACAAATAAACTGTCTTTCGTTTGATCATTGAACTACTGAACTGGTTTGGGATGAGCTTCTATGGGAAGGCAATATCTAAGTAATCAATTCGATTACAAGTAACGTACGTAACAAGTATATTTTTAATAACTTAATATTTATAACTTATTTATGTTCCCTGCATCAACCATGACAAGTCGTGTATAATAATGAATATTAACTGTAGGTGTAGGTACAGAGTCCCTGGCGCTCGTCTGTCCAGAAGGATCTTGCTGATCTCGAGGACCACTGAAGTGAACGAATTTGCATCCGGTTTTCAATAATATGATCCCCATCTCTTCAGAAAATGTAGTGTATATTAAATATTGCCCTAAACCTTTCAGAAACTAAGCACTAACGACATTATTAATGAATTAAGTCTGGAAGTGCTTATCACAAACTAAACACAAAATTAAACGGACCAAAAACTTCTATGTATACTACTGGACGGGCACTACGGTACTAATACATTGAGCACTAAGTTACAATCTATTCTCCGTAAATTCCGTAAAAAAATTGATTTGAATGTTATTTCAGAATAATTATGTATATATCTTTATTTCGTATATACTTGCGTGGCATATTCACCATGCCATCTACCCACCCAGCCACCGCCCCCGTGCTCGCGCTATCCACATCTGTGACATAGTGTTTGTTTTGAATTGCCGGTCTAGTATTAATGTAGTAGTTAACAACATACTTGTAGCCTTTGATGACGAATCGGGGCCGGATCGCTTGTGTGAAAAACAGTAAATAATGTTTTATTTATAACCTAGCCTTCGCGCATGCGCGGGGGATAGTTACAGTGTCGCGCATGCGCGGTAAATTTTTGTCATCATAGATTATACGTTGGTAGAATGATTAGTATACAATGTATTATCAAAGATCATTAATATTACGTTTTATTCATATATATTAGATAATAATAAGAGACAGATTACAATATAATAAGAGTCATTGGGCAGTGCAATACAAAGGTGACACTGTGTTTAATATTGTGCCTAACAAATTACTGTAAGAAAACCACAGAAAAAAACGTAAAATAACATGTTGTTTTAATGATAATATTAATTTCACTTTTTGCTGTTTTTTTTAATAGAATAAGGGTGACTAACGAGTATATAGTCCATCTACATAGACATTTATCCTCGATTAAGAATCAAAATGCAGATGCGTTGTCACCCAAAATGGAATGCCTAGTTTCCAGTAAAAAAGTGTCCCCGAATCTCTACGCTCACCATACGAAACACAGCAGTATTAAGCTACTATTTTACGCTGGTATGCGTAAAATGGTTCGGCTCTGTATTGGCATAATACTGCTATACGTGCTACAACTATAATGGCTCATAACATGGCTCTAACGCGTATAAATATAGGGAACAATAAAAAAAATTATCAAACTGCGATACAATATTTTAACGTTTAACATAAAATAAAGTAAGCATTCCAATGGTATAAAATATTTTGTATGACTATATTTGGTCCGATTTTAATTTACAACTTTTACTCAAATTTATTAATATATTTATTTCTGATTACAACGTCAAGTCACAACTGCATCTGAGAAGAAGTTAATCTACATTTTACCGAAACATGGCCGTGAGCGCGGTAAAGTGTGACAATTGATAAATATAATTAAATTTCGTGTCTTATTGGTAACTAATATTTTGCACTTAAGCTCCCTGTTAAGTGCAAAAAGTCACTTCTTAACCTTAACTTTTTTCTCGAGTGGATCATGCAAGAACTCATTGCGCATGAACATGAAGGCGTTTTTATAAGGCTTATGTTTGTTCTCAAATGTGTCACGTCGCGGTAAGCGTCTGGCTCAGGTTCAGACTAATTGCGTTAGAGCCCGTAGACTCTAATTGCATCTCCACATTCCCACTCGAATCGCAGCACAAATCACACCGTGATTCACGGCGTGAATGGTGGCAAGAACTGTTCTTGGCTCCACTTTAAAAGTACGCATTAGGTCGTTAGGTTCACAGTGTAGTTCGCGCGCTTGATAAAGATGAACGTCGAAGTCGCTACTTTGGGTGCTGGGCTACATTGCCCATTAGCGATTAAGAATTACAGTTTAATAAATTCTCTTCACGTGGTAGAGCCATACTG